TCCCTGGCTCAGGGACACACTGCCATACAGAAAGACAAGACTGATGTCCTGGGAGCTGTGGCTTGTGGTTGCTGTCCTCAGAGAGAGTGTCCAGAAGAGCGTGTGGCTCCCCTTCCGGGAAGAGAGGGAGAGGGTGCATTCATTCTGCTTCACCTCTATGTTGCAGGCTGGACTAGGGACTGCCTGCAGGACTGGGGTTCCTTTATCCAGCTGGCTGTGCCCAGCATGCTCATGATGTGTATTGAGTGGTGGACTTTTGAGATCGGGAGCTTCCTGGCAGGTGAGTCCAAATCCTTTTCCTTCCTCTGATCCAAAAGAACATCTTCCAGTCATGCCTACCTTGGTGGCTGCCTCTCTGTTGTGCCCCCAAAACATCCTCTGCCAGCAGCTCCCTTGCACGCAGGGCTGGTTCAATAGGATGCTGCATTCATTAGATGGAAACCCTATAGCTGCCACCTCCTCACCAGCAAAGGAGTTTTAATTCTGACCTGATGAAGGAAGTGATAAATCTCTTCCAGGGCTGCTCAGCGTGGTGGAGCTGGGTGCACAGTCTGTGATCTATGAGCTCTCCTGTGCAGCGTACATGGTAAGGGCTGGGTATATCGAGCTGGGACTGGCTGAGGAGGGAAGCAGGGGTAGGAAGCAGAACCTGGTACCAGGCAGGCAATAACTCTCTGGCCTGCTGTGCAGCTGCACATCCAGAGGTGTGCTGCAGATGTGAAATCCCTTACTGCAGCCTGCCAACACCTGCTCAGAGGATACCTAGACTATGCTCACATTAGCATCATTGTGTTCCCGGATATGGCTATTGCATTTTTCAGCCTCCTCCGATGCATCCAAAAAGACTTTATGCCCATGGGGCAGGCAATAGCTTGCAGCTGCAGAGAGTAGCTTGGGGCTGGGTGTTAGTGACATCACTTTGCCCCTAATTCTCTACCCTGGAAGAAAAACTGCTGCAGGCTCTGCTGCCACCCACCTTCTCATTGTCTCCTACTCAGGTGCCACTAGGCTTCAGCGTGGCCACGAGCGTCAGAGTGGGCAATGCCTTGGGATCAGGGGATGCAGTGCAAGCCAAGACCTCCTGCATCACTGCTCTGCTGTGTTCAGGTCAGCCCAGGCTCCTTTGGAGGGGAATAAAGAGCAATTATCAGCAAAGGGTTCACAGAGCTGGGGAACCTCCAGCAGCTAAGACCCACTTGTTTGGACCCTCAAATGGGGAAGGCGGGACTCTGGCAGTTCCTCTTCCCTCTTAGGAGCCTGGCAAAAAGGCTTTAATAGTTAAAAATGCAATTCAGCATTCTGTCCTCCAGCTCCAGAAGGTGGAGGGAGTATTTGGGGATGAAATGGGGAAAACGGACTTGTCCTCTACTGCAGTAACGTTTGGAGGTGAGCCAAGTCCAGATCCCATCACATAGAGCCCCCGAGATCCAGGCCTGGGATAGGCAAAATGTCCTGCTCTTTCCTGAGGCAAGCTGTTTGACTATTTCTTTTTCTTTCAGGAGTGTTTGCTGTAGTGGTTGCAACGTTACTGGGAGTCCTAAAGGATGTAGTGGGCTACATCTTCACCAGTGACAAGTGGGTTAACTGCTTTCTTTTAAGTACAATTACTTTCTTGGTGGGCCTGATATATAATGTCCCAGGAACAGCTCAGAAGCAGCTGACAGGTGGAGTTCATAAACCTCCATCTGGCAAACATTTCCCCAAAGGTTCCTCCCCGCTCCTTGTGTTACTGGACAGCATGGATGCTACTGACTCTGAGACAACACCATGGCAGTACCCAAGCTGCATGCACTCCCTGCAGGTCCAGTGGTCTGGGATCAGGCTTTCCAGCTGGCCAAGGGTGATGTGTGAGAACCTTTGGGCCAGGCTACCCTACTTTCCCTGACCAGCACATACATTTTTCCCATCAGGGAGATCGTTACCTTGGTGTCCAAAGTGATGACGATCTTTGCTCCGTTCCACTTGTTTGATGCAGCAGCAGTGAGTATTCCAAGATGTGAAGCAATTCCTCTCTGCAGGTGGTGGTGTAATGGAGAGCGCAGAACTATTTTTTTTTGCTCTGAATCTGTTATAATGATATAGAGAAGCAACCTGAAAAACTGTCAAAGCAGTTGCTTGCATTAGCAGTAGCACTTCAACATCCCCCTGTGCTTGTAGCTGCCTGTTGGCATTACTGCCGAACAACCCAGTTCTCCCTCTCCTCCCCTGCCAATACTTCAGTTTTCTACTAGTTTGTCAGAGCAATGCAAGCAAGCAGCTGGATCTTTAGGGATGTCAGGTACCCACAGCACAGTGGCAGTGCTCATACAGCCTATTGGATGATAATTTCAGGCTCTTTCCTCCTGTCCTGTCCTGTCCCAGGGAGAGTGATGCAGGCGGTGTGGAAGGCCCTAAAGTCTGCTGGCACACCTCCCTCTGTGCCTGCAGGCAGCTCCACTTTATGGTCTATGGTCAGCAGTTAAACAAGAGCAACTTTACACCATGTTCTTTGAGATGTGGCCTTGGTCCCTCTCAGCTCTGCAGGACAGTGCTGTAGGCTCCCCTGTTTCCAGGGCCGTGCCATACCCTGAGCTCCTTTGGGTGGTATCAGCCATGGTAAGTGCTGTCCTACATGTTCATTCCTCTGCCTGTTTTCCTTAGGCGACCTGTGGCGGTGTGCTGAGGGGCGCAGGGAAACAGAAGATGGGTGCTATCGCCAATGCTATTGGCTATTACGCCATCGGCTTGCCCATCGGCATCTCGCTGATGTTCGCAGCTAAGCTGGGGGTGTTAGGTACGTTTGGCATTGGGGGGGTCTGGCTTTGTGCGAGCTGCCAACACTACTCCTGCTGGGCCAAACCCCATGGCCTTGGGCAGAGGCTCAGTCCTGGGACTTGTGCTTGGATCCTCCTTCAGGTTTGGTGGGCTGAATTACACACTGAATTGTTTAGCTGAGGTAGCCCCCATCAAATGGAGATTTGAGTGAATGGCAGCATCTCAGCTCCAGAACATGAACAGAGGTAAAAGTCCAGCACCTTAAGGAGCAAATTCTCTGCCAAATTTCTGCCACTTCCAAACCTGTGCGATTAAGCTGCAGAGAAAAGGGCTTAGTCGGCTGTGACTGTAATTAACTTGGGGCACTCTCCCTTTGATGGTAACTGGACCCAGGACTGATGCACTTGCTGTGAGTGAGCTTAGTGGCAGAGTTCCCAAGATGGCCCAGTAAATCCAGGCTTGCTCCCAGCATAGAGCTTACCTAGGAGCTGTTTCCTCTCGCTGCCTCTCAGGGGCAGCTCTCAGATCGAGACTGGGTTAGACTGAGCAAAGTTCTGACGCCCACCAAGGTCCTTGGGCATTTTGGCAGTCACTGACAAAAGCAGGATTTTCTCAAGCCCTCACTAAAGTCACTCTCCATTGTTGCAGGTCTGTGGGTGGGGATGATTGTTTGCATCTCTTTGCAAGCCCTTTCCTTCTCAGCCTTTGTCATACGCATGGACTGGAAGAAAGCTGCAGAAGAGGTAAGACTTGTGTTTCCCTCAAGTAGCTCTTAAAAGGTGTTAGGCCAGTTCCTGTCTAAGTACAAAGCTAGAGCCCTTCAGCCATTTGTGGGGAGATGGAAGCAAAGCATAATCTGTCCTTCTGCTATAGCACAGGAACGATTTGGTGCTGAGCTTGCTTGCTTTGGGAAGGTAGAGGAAGGAGGCTCAGGTTTGCTTGGCTGGGCAGGACATCCCTGCTCCAAGGAGAGCAACTCTTCTGTGTGTTTTTAGGCTCAAATCCGAGCTGGACTGGAAAAACAACTGGAAGACGTGAACTCCAATGGCACAGCTGCTAACAAAACATCTGTTCTGGGTATGTAACCAGGCCTGAAAACAGGGAGGGAGCCCAAGTTCTCCACCCAGCCCTTCCTTTGCTTCTCAGTCATGGCAGCAGTTCTGTCCTGCAGGCCCAGACAGTGGGAAAGAGCACAGTGTCTGGTGCTGGTCCCAGGCCAGTGGCACTTCTGCTGCATTTAGTAATAGGGGGTACAAGATACCTGTCCCCTGTCACCACCCTGGCTGCTCCAAGGAACTGCCACTGTCTGCATTACCAGGGTGTTCCATGCCACTTTGCTGCTGCATGTCCCAGTGTCCTTGAGCCTTGGGAAAGGACCCTCAGGACTGTCACTAGCGCTTGTGCATAAGCGCTTATGCTTGTCCCAGCATAAGGCTGGGATCTCCTGGCTCTGCAGCTTGGCTTCCCTGAAGCACTCACCTCTGTCGCACAGATTACGTCTCTGTCAACGCAGACACTGCAGACACTGTGGTCCTGCCCAACAGCATCATGGGAGGTGAGAGGCAACCTGATCACCAGCTCATCATGCAGGAGGAGCCTACCGCCTCCACTGCTCCTCCAGTGGTAGGAAGAGCCCTCATCCTCCACCGGGTGCTGGTTGCTGCTGCAGCCGTTGCTGTTCTGCTCGCGGGCATGCTGGTTCGGCTCCTAACTGGCAATGGATAGAGCTATGTCAGTGTGCCGCCGAGGAACCGTGACTGCACAGAGCAGGAGGGCACATGGTAATGTCCTAGGAAGATGATGATCGGGGAAAGAATCCCCTGCCTCAGTAGCTTGTTAAGAGTCACTTTGCTCAATTTCTGGTTAAGTCAAAATGTCTCATCTCACATGCTCAGTTCTTAAAGGTGGCGAGGATGCAACACCCGGGAAGGAAGTGCATGAGAGGCTGTCCCCTCTCCTGCACTGCACTGGGGATGTCACTTGTGATGGGGCTAGAGCATGTCTTAGGGCTGGCTAGGGAAGGAGACAGGCCTTGTGCTACTGTCCTCCTAGACACTGGGAGCGTTTGACCACGTGCTTTGGTAATGGCAGAGGCTCATGCTACTCACAAAGCATGTTCTCTTGCAGACCTGCCTGTACCAGCATCTTGGCATGTCAGAGCCCACTCGCTAATGCTACAACAGTGCATTGCAGTGCAAGGCCAAATTTGTTGGAAAATGGCTGACTCCCATCAGGGCGCTGGTTGCTGGCTCCTGGCCCTGCTCTCCCCTGTGTTGGCAGGCACAGGGCCTAGAGCAACTCCCCTTTGCACTTTTGTAACCTGGCATTTTGATACAATAAAGTTTTCTGAGTAAAGGTTGTGTTGTTAACTGGGTGTGAGCACAGCCCCAGTCATGGACACTGCTAAACTATTAGGAGGGATACACGCGCCTGGTTTCTAGCACAAGCCTCACCTGAGCAGTTCTGTGCAGAATAACCAGCTTTCACAGGGAAATAACCTTAAACACTGGTCCTAGCTCCTGGCACTGGCCTCTGAGTCCGGCTGTGTGTTACAGCAACGTGGCCTATTTTAGCCTGGCTCACTGAGCACACAGCTCCTCTCTAATGCAAGCAGGTCTTCCACACTTCGGTTGCTCCCACCCCATTGCTGAATCATATGAGAAAGGGTTGTTTGATATGCAGCTGTGCAGCCCCAGACCAAAGTCTGAGCATGGGGACAGCTGCCAAGGAACTACCTTACATCTTAATGCAAATGCCCCCCCCCCGGCATTGCCTGCCCATTCCTGCCCTCAACGTCCAGCCCTGGGGTCTACAGGAGCTGTCTCTGGACAGGCTGGCTGCTGGGCGCCTTGCTCTTCCCTGCAACTGTGCAGTGACAGCGAGGCTGCTGGCACTGTGGTGTAGCAGTGTGTGGGAGGTGAATGCCACATACAGCCTGCACATGGCAACTCCCTGCCAGTCTCAGCCACCCCGCGGGTCTCCTGGCCCATGGAGCTGGTCACCTGTGGGCTGCGAATAAAAAACAAGAGAAACGATACATACTAAATCAGCTTGAAACATCCATCAACCATGACCTCAAGGGTGCAGGGACCTAGATGTAGGGAGCTGTGGCAGACTGTGTCCTGCTTGGAGTCCCATTTTAGGGCTGAGGCTTGGGGAGAGGAGGAAGTCTGCCTTGCTCTGCCATGCAGACTTCCCCAGGCCCTGTCTGCCAGGGCTCACCTGCCACTCTGTGCAGGAGAGGTCTGTAAACAACATGGTAGCTCTCTTCCACCTCCTTTGCCCTAAGGCGGGCCAAAGCAGGATGCTATATTTGGCCTGGCAGAGCAGCGCCTGTGAAACCTGATGCTGTGCAAGGCTGACAGCTGGAGCCAATGGGGCTGGCTTGTTTTGGCCACCACCGCCGCTGTGATGAGAGGGGCTGAGATGGGCAGCAGCCCAGCCACTGCAGACGAAGCACTCAGAGGCAGGAGCTCACGAGAGGCAGCACAGGAACCCACGAATCCTCCATCTCCGCTGGAAGAGGAGAGCGGCCCTTCAGCCTGCCAGCTAGCAGATCCACAGCAGAGCAGGAGCGAGGTAGGAGGGTGTAAAAGCTGGCACTGGGCAAGGGTGCCGCGGGCTCCTTTACGCAGCCCTTGTTCTGCCTGGCTGCGAGCGCCAAAGGGACCGCAGCCCCCTAGACAGCCTGCGTGGGCTTGGCCAGGGGCACCACACCCCGGGGCAGCTGGACAACCTGCTAGCGACTGTTTCCAAACTGCTGGCAGTCGTCAGCCACTTGGGAACCGGGCAGGACACGCGACCAGCACAGCAGGGCTGTGACAGCAGCAGGAGGTAAGTGGGTAGCTCTGTAGAGCTCGTGGGAGCAATTTGGGAAGGCTCCCCAACAACGCGCTGGCTCGGGGCAGGCAGCAAGTGCCTTACACTGGTGCAGCTGGGCTCTTCTGTGCAGCCCACATCAGCGCGCGGGACCCTCGCTTGGCTCCCCCAGCCCTGAGCCTGGCAGCATGTCCTGCCCTGGCCCCAGCTCACTGCCCGTGCTCCCCATCGCCACACCAGCACTGGCAGCAGGAAGCACGCGGATGGCTTGCTCAGCCCTGGCTGAAGTTCACCCTGCCATGGTTACACATTGCTTACCCTCGTGGGGCTGGGCGCTCGGTGGTTTTAACAGAGCACAGAGAAGGAGGATTCTTTCACTCCCCTAGCAGATTCGCAGCATGAAGCAGGCGAACTTCCCCGAGGAGAACGGCTTCAGCGAGGTGATGGCCAGCAGCCCTCATGATCCTGCGCCCAGCAGCTGTGGGAAGAAACGCCACTGGCTTCAGCATCTGATCCCAGACAACTTCTGGGAGGACGCAAAGAAGCTGATAGTGCTGGCATGGCCACTGGTAGGGATCCAAGGTGGAGGGCACTGGCGCATCAGTCAAGTAGGTTGGGGTGGCTTCAGCTGTGGCACAATGCTGCGGGTACAGCAAGGCGCAGGTTCCTCAGGCAGCAGAGCCAAAACAATGGAAGACCTCAGACAGCTCCTGGAGAAGATGGATGTGGAGCACTGCTAAATACCTGGCAAGGGGGTAGAAACTTCAAATCAGTTTTATCTGAGGTGCCACGAGGGATTTATTTGCTTGACTAGTTATATCCAGGCACATGGGTATAGTTACCCTCCTGTCCTGGACCCAGGAGGAGAACAGCATTGCCAGGTCTCTGCCTCCAGCACAGCCACCCCTTGCTCACCTCTGTTTCTCCCTGTCTCCTCTTCCTTGCAGCTCCTGAACCAGCTCCTCATTTTCCTAATCCACCTCGTCAGCTCCATATTCTGCGGCCACCTGGGGAACGTTGAGCTGGCCTCCGTCACACTAGCCATCGCTGTAAGTATTTCCATGGGCTGCCTTGGCACCTGGCTAGGCACCAGCTCTGACCTGATAGTGCTGGGATATGGTTATGGAGAGGGAGGCAGGAGGAACTGTCCTGTGACATGGAGACAGACAAGGACTGAGGAGATTTTGCACTCCCACTTTGCCTTTTAGCAACTCTCCCTACTTGAAAGTCTAATATTATACACATTTGCTCATTTTTTTTATTCCTCTGCTCCTTCCAGGTTGTAAATGTTACTGCTATCTCTGTAGGATACGGTTTGTCTTCGGCATGTGACACCTTGATATCCCAGGTGGGTACAGGATACTGACACTCATCCTGGAGACGCTGGGTTTTACAGCACAGGCTCACGCTGCCCAGGCATGGTGTGAGGCAAAGCTGTGCTGTGGGAGCCCAGGCTGCACGAGCAAGCTGCTATGCGGGGAGCCGGGGAAATTTGGCCCTAAGCAGCAATCCCCTAGCCAGCTGGCAGGGAGGTCTGAGCTCTCCTTGAAATACCAAGTCCTTCCCAAGAGGTCTCCAGGACAGGATGGGGTCAGGGCTGCTCCATTGTCCACATGGGCCCTGTAACTCCCTGGCATGGTGGCTCACTGGTGTGGCAGGGCTCACTGCCACACTCTTGCCTCACAGACCTATGGCAGCAAGAACCTGCGGCGCGTGGGAGTGATCCTGCAGCGTGCCACCCTCATCATCCTGCTGTGCTGCTTCCCCTGCTGTGCCATCCTCATCAACATCGAGCAGCTCCTGCTTCTCATCCGCCAGGACCCCGAGGTCTCCAGGTTGGGCAGCCGTGCGGCAGGGACAGCCTTTGATACCAACACCTCATCCCTCCCTGGGGGGGGGCGGGGGCCTCAGTCCCCTCACTGACTGTGCTCTCTCGTGTCCCCTCCAGGTTAACCCAGCTCTACGTGATGGCGTTCATCCCTGCTCTTCCCGTAAGTCCCTATGCACAGGGCCCCACGTCCTGCCCAGCCCAATGGTCCCTGTGGGCTGTGGCTCACTGTGTGGTGCCGCGAGGGACAGGCTCTGCCTGGGAGGAAGGCCCAAGCTGCAGAGAGCGGGGCAGCATCAGGGCTGCAGTTGGGCATGGAGCGGGTGCACAGCTCTTGTTTTCATCCACAGCAGTGCAACCCACATTGAGTGTTGGCCTCATCTCATGCACCAATTTGCTTTTCAGGCAGTTTTTCTGTATCACTTGGAGACAAGATACCTGCAGAACCAGGTGGGTGTCCCACAACCCTTGCACCTATGGAGGGTCATTTCCTGCCCTGGGCATGGGCTTGGAGCTCCCCTCAGCCACACTCCTGGGTTTTTGTGCTTGCCAGTGCTGGTGGCTCCAGGTTCTTCCCTGGAGCTCACTCGTGTCACATGGACAGTTGTACCTGTCTACCTGATGGACCTTCCTTTGTACCTTCCCACATCAGGGATTTACCTCCAGCGCAGTCATTTTCAAAGTAGGTGACTAACGTCACAAGTTTACTCTTCAGTTTAAAGGCCGTGAAAGCTAATTGAGAATGGGCCCGGCAGGTGCCTTCCGAGGCTTTCATGACAATGATGCAGGTCTGTCTCCTCTTCCTCACAGATGATCATGTGGCCCCAAGTGCTGAGTGGCATTGTCGGCAACGCTGTCAATGTGATTGCAAACTGCATCTTTCTCTATGCGCTGGGCTTCGGTATTACGTGAGTAGCACCCGAGTCCCACAGTGAAAAAAAAAATGACACCTTGTAACTGCAGCTTCATTCCAAGGGCCCAACACAGCAAGTGGTTTATAGGAAACAGGCTTTTACCCCGAGAAACACAGTATTTTCAGAAAGGACTCACTGTAGCAGCCTAGCTTGAAACAGCTCATCTATGTTTTGAAATATAGGATTTATGTAGCAGCCCTACTTAGCCAGGGCTCTGGTCTGTCTTCACAAAGGGACCAATTCCTGAAGCAGCAGATCGGGGAATTAATGTGCGAGGTGCTGCGACCGCCCAAGCCTTCTCATCCCCAGCATCCTGGCCCGTGAGGGGCTGGGGCCATGTGCTAGGAGTCCTTAGTCAGGGCAGCTGGCCATGTGCCCTGACTGCAGCAGCACTGGCACGCTCGGGGGCCAGCAGGACGTTACGCTTTGTCACCCCCAGAGCAGGAGCGGTTGTGCAGGGGAGGTGTGAGCAGGGCACAGACAGCATTTCTCATTTCCTTTCCAGGGGCTCAGCCTGGGCCAACACCGTTGCTCAGTATTCTCAAACCGTTTTCTTGTTCCTGTATATTGTAGGCAAGAAGCTGCATGTGGAGACATGGGGAGGTAAGGCATCTTCCCATGTCCCACTCTGTTCCTTCTTTACAGGAAGGTCTGTAAATCTTCCACCATTTCTATCAAGCGTATTTTGTTAGTCCTAGAGGTGTAATATTAACTTCCACCTGGTACACCCCAGGAGCGCCGTGCTGCTTCGGTGGCAGCACGTGATGTACGAGCACTACGCTGGGCAGTAAACATTAATTCTTGAGGACTGAAACTTTCTGCTGAAGCTTTGTTGGGTTTGGTCCCAAAGCAGGAGCAGCCCAGACATAGGTGCGAGGCTCTCCTTGGATTCTCTGGTCTTAGAGGGATCAGCTGAAGGTACACAGCTCTGTGGGCCTTGGCAATTCAACAGCAGAGCACATATACACACGTACCATTGCTGGAGATCCTACCAGGTTCATGAGCATTGATTTGGAGGCTTTGCATGGGGGTCCCATCATGAAAGGCACAGTTGGCTGCCTCACATTCGCAAAGATGCAAAACTCAACCAGTTTGGTCCTCCATCAGGCAACATTTCTCATCTCCTCTCTCCAGGCTGGTCCAGGGAGTGCCTCTTGGATTGGGACAGCTTCACCTCGCTAGCTATCCCCAGCATGCTCATGATATGCATTGAGTGGTGGACCTACGAAATTGGGAGCTTCTTGATAGGTCAGCGAAGAGGGGCAGCTACACGGAGGCGGAGAGGGTGTGACTGAGAGCGCTGTCTTCGGCGGCTGGCGAGGGTCAGCAGGGGCCGAGAGCGGTCTCTTTATCAGGTGCTTGAACTCAATGCTGACTCTCTCCTCTCCGCTTCAGGCCTGCTGAGCGTTGTTGAGCTCTCAGCGCAGTCCATCATCTATGAGGTGTCTGCTGTTGCCTACATGGTAAGGTTTGAAGATTATTATTTAAGATTAGGCCACCATAGGAACATTCTCAGTACAGACTCCAACAAGAATCAGCTCCAGCAAACTCGGGTCTCATCTCTGCCCTCTTTGCACTTCAGTCACTCCTTGCTCCTGCCTGTGCCTCCTGTGGATATATTTTAAATTAAATCCTGACCTTCTGCCCCTGCTCTGCTGGGTCACTATTTTGTCATTCCTCTGGCTATGACGGCCCGTTACCGCAAGGCCTAGCGTCACCTAGTTGCACGAGTCAGCATCAGCGCTCTGTGATTACAGATTCCCCTAGGGCTCGGCACAGCTGCCAGCGTCCAGGTGGGGAACGCGCTTGGCGCCGGGGACGGGAAGACGGCCAAGAGATCTTCCTCCACCTGCCTGCTCTGCACAGGTGAGGTGCCCCAAGCACCCAGCTTGGCCCTTCCCACCGCTCATCCCTTGCCACCAGCCACGCCAGGCTAGCTCCAGACCCCACAAAAGCAGGGCACGTTTTGCCATCCTCAATCTGCAATGCACACAAGTTACCCTTTAATTCCCTCTGCGTCATGCCAGTGTTGTGGGCATAGGGCCAGCCTGGCAGTACGGCTGGTGGCACACCTCCAAGCATGGGGCAAGGGCCAGCTCCCCCTCCACGATGGCCTCAATTCTTTGCTCTGTTTTTCAGGGGGATTTTGCATAGCAGCAGGGGCCATTTTAGCAGCCATGAAGGATGTGCTGGGCTACGTCTTTACCTATGACAAGTGAGTACTCCAGCTCTCGGTCCTAGCGTCCACAAAGCAGCGGCCAGTTCCCCAAAATAACCGTCGCCTCTTCTCTGTCCCCAGGGAGATCATCGACTTGGTGGCCTGGGCCATACCCGTCTATGTTGGCTTCTACTTATTTGAAGCCACATGTGTAAGTCCTCAGGGATGCTGCTATGTTTAATAGGGGACCTTACAATTCCCTGAGAGCCCTTGGCAGTCACAGGCTGTGGGGAGGGCTGGGGCTGAGGAAGGAGGAACCTTGCCCTTGGGATTGGTTCACCGGGCATCCTACAGGGGCTGCCCTGAGGCAGTGGCAGACCCTGGATGCAGCTCAGCTGGATACCCCAGGATGGAGGACCCCAGCCCTCACCCCAGTCCTTCTCCCACTCTCCTCCCTCACAGGGCGCCTGCAGCGGAGTGCTCAGAGGCATAGGCAAGCAGAAGTTTGGGGCCATCCTCAACGCTGTGGCTTACTATGGCATCGGCCTGCCTGTGGGAGCTGTGCTCCTCTTCGTGGCCAAGATCGGCATCATAGGTACTGACCAGAGGGAGGGCTGGCACCCCGCTACCACCATGCTGAAACATGACCCTGCACGCTGCCCCCAAATCCCCTGCAGATGGGGCATGGCTCCCACCGCTGCGACCCCACCCATGGCTTGTCGCAACCCTCCCACTGAGGCCCTGTCATGAGGGCAGTGCCCAGCTGGGTCTGCCAGGCAGCTCCGCAGCAGGCACTCATAGCTGGCCCCGTCCCCTGTCCCCGCTGACCTGGGCACTGGGGCGGGGTGCCCTTTCTGCTGCAAGACGCCAGCTGCCACAGCTCAGCCCAGTTGCGGCAGCCAGCTGACACTGGTGTCCCTCCGCAGGTCTCTGGCTCAGCATGCTCATCTGCGTCTCCATCCTCTGCAGCTGCTTCATCACCTACATTGTCCGCATGGACTGGAAGAAGGCAGCTGATGAGGTAGCCCTCCTGTGTGCCACATGCGCGCCTTGAGGTTTCTCTCTGTGCCATGCCTGACTTGAGACACGAAGCACAGATCGGATGGGGCCACCAAGGCATAACCCAGCTCTGCTCATCCAAACTGCAGCCGCTCAGCAACATGTTGTGCGGTAGCAGCACTGGAGTCTGCAGCAGCAAGCATTTCTTGGTCATTTTGGGCGCATCTCTTGGCTGCAGGGTGCCATTTCTCACCAGACCAGCTGTGCATGACACAGCACGGCAGCTTTGCTCAGTGGGGATTTCCTGTTCCATGCCAGGCACCGCTGGTTAAACTTGCTATATTCCCTCCCCTAGGCTCAGCTCCGTGCAGGAGTGACCCAGCAGCCAGCAGAAGAGCTGAACTCAGGTCCTGAAGCATCGTGCAAGGCTCTGCCCTGTGGCCCAGGGCCAGCCCCGCCGCCCTACGCTCACAGCCCTGCCACAGCGGTGCGGGGGTGTGTAGGTACGTGCCTCAGCATGCTGCTCTCAGCAAACCTGTGTCGTGCTGGGACACTCCCCAGACTAGCAGCCTCAGTGCTGAGGGACCCCCTGCCAGGGCACTGTTGCACGTGTCAAGGCCGTGCACATGGTGTTTGCACCCAAGCTGGCAGGAAAGGGTTTTCCCTAGAGCTCTGCCCCTTAAGCCTTAGGGAAAGGGAGACAAACAGTTAACTACAGCCACGGGACCTTGGGAGGTGAAGCATGTCAGCAGAGGGGGATTACCTGGGAAGAGACACCCTGGGGAGTTTTCACTTTGAAAACACCAGATCCACACTAAAGCTCAGCTGTACTCTGCTTGCTGAGGGCTGGAGCTCCCTGCAAGACTGCGGTACCACTCTCAGTAGGATAGGCATGGTTCATAAAGTGCTTTCAGTCCTAAGAGAAAACCTTCTGCCTCCCCAAAAGCCCTCAGTGACCCTGCCTCGTTCTTGTTGCAGCGGGAATGGATGCTCAGAACGGTGTCACGCTCATGGGCATCACCAAGATCGAGGGACCAACATACCAGCTGGAGCCCCAGGAAGCAACGCCTGCCCCACCAGCTCCAGGCACCATCATGTCCATGAGAGAGCTGCTCCTCCGGCGTGGGCTGGCGGTGGCCGCGGCTGTCGCAGTGCTTGCGCTCGGCATCGTAATAAAGCTCATGACCAGCAAACACTGAACAGCACCATGCACTCTGGGGACTTTGGGGACAAAGGCGCCTCCTGACTGATGGACACACAAAACGCAGACCAGCCAACAGAAGAATCCAGCACCCGAGTAGCCCTTCAGGGCAGAAGGGCCCCACTCAGCACTAGGCAGTACCTGACCGCATATCACTTGGGAACAGGCCCTATGCATCATCCCAAGTGCTGCCCAAGCTGCCCTACACCCACTGAGCATGAGATAACCCCTTCCGCACGCAAACCAGCACTGCCAGCTCTCACCTGCTGACTGGAGCTGAGCACCGCCCAGCTTGCACCACTGCCTAATAAAGAATAAACCCAGCTAGACCCAGGCTGGCTCCTTTGCTTGGAGGCTCAGGCAGAGCTAGCTGCCAGAGCAGAACATCAGCTGCTGCGAGCTGCAGCCCCACCCGGGGCTGTTCCGGTTGCTTTTTAGGGGAATGCGGCCCTTCCAGCTCTCCTGCGGCTTTCAAGGCCCTGCTGGCTCACACGAAGCTGCTCACCGCGACGCAGCAGCGATAAGGTGTCAGTGCAGTGATAGCGGGTGCTCTCCCCCGCAGTGACTCGCTGCATCCTGGAGCACAGAGATATCAGCCCAGCACTCTGTTCTCCTGCCCTATAGCACCAGGTGGCCTTCACAGTAAAAACAGGTTTTATTCAGCAAGGCTCAAGGTCAGGCTTTCAGTTACAAGCTTGGAGATAAAAGACTAGCAGTAAACCAATAAAAAAATGGAAATTCAATTAATTCCTTAAGCATGAGTTCAGGAAACTATGCTCAGCTTCTCCAGCCAAGGACTCTCCTAGACCTGGAGACTCAAGTCACAGCAACTCCCCCTCGTCAGTGTGCGGCCCCAAATACCGTGTACCAACTGCACTACCTTCCCCAAGCGCTCCTCACGTCCTTGGGGCAGAGTTTGACTACGGCTCAAGAATCTTTTGCTGTCTCTTCATGTAGCCTTTTTGTGCCTTGGATGCCTAATGGTGATTTCCCATGCGCTGGGACATCACTCATGCTGCTGTAAGTCCTTTCAAGGGCAGGATGGTGCATGCTCTTAGAGGCTATTTCCCTTCTGCTCCTGGGCAGCCTGCTAGGGGACAATCAACCTGGCCTGTCCCCAGAGCCACTAGGACTGCGAGGGTGTAGTTACACAAGACATGAGTAATACATACATTTTGTTAGGCTTAGTTCGCTGATACATGACAGTTTTCTATAGGGCTCACCCAAGACACAATACACAGATAATAGGCTCAGTAACAACCTTCTTTGCTTTCACACGCTTGTGACGAATGATTCCCCAGTTCCCAAGACCTACAAAGACTCCTGTCTGCACCACAGGGCAAGACGCGTCCTCCTTCCACCTGCCTTAACTCACTATTGCGGCGTG